TATAAAACTGATCAGAGAGCGAAACAACTACGTAATAGCCCTAACAACACCAGGTGCAGTCCGGTAAAGTTCAAAAGATAAAGGTGAAGTTAAAAGATAAAGTTAAAATCCCAACTCTGACTGAGGAGACAGAGCAAAGGGTGAGAGCCGATGCTCTGCATGTCAGAGACCCACGACTGATCCCAAACAGGGCATCACGAAGAGCCCCTAGCACTGTGCCGAATGTCTTATGGCTGAAATCATAAAGTATGTCGCCACTTCAGATTACCTTCTTTCACTTAGCACAATGCAACCAAGATTCTTCATTGTATATCCATGACTTGATTGTTCATAGTCTTTAGGGCAATTATGAATAAAGCTGTAAACATTTATGCACAGGTAATGTGTGAATATCATTCTCTAATTTCTTGGGTACATTCTTATGGACATGACTGCCAAATTACATTACAACAACATTTAATTTTGAAAGAAACTGCCAAAGCATTTTCCAAAGTTACTATGTCAATTTTACATTTCTCAAAAACTGCAGAGTAGTCTCATTATACCCATCAAAATATACATTCATATTTGGTCATGCTCCCAAATCTGTGCTCAACAAAAATCACTTCTTAAAAAAATGTGGAGGGGGTTGTTAAGTCTGACTGGAGTTTTAGATGCTAAAGAGATGATTTCTGGCAGTAGCAGAATGATTTGTTTGTTTTGTTTTGGGTCACAACCAGTGGTGCTCACAACCTTACTCCCGGTTCTGTGTCTAGGTATCACTCCTTTTGGGACTCAGAGGATCCTAAAGGGTTCTGTGGATGGAACCAGGTTTGGCTCTATGTAAAACAAGTGTCTTACCACTGTATTATCACTCTGGTCCCTGCAAAATGAACACTTTTATTTCAATTTCAAGGAGTCAATCTCAGGCAGTGCAATTGCCTTAACTCCAGGACTATCTTTGACCCTTGAAACTATTTTTAAGATTTTACGAGAAGATATTTTTCCCATAAAGTTTCCTTTAAAATGCATACAGTTAGGAAAACAACAGTGGAATTCAACAAGCCTGACTAATGTGAAATTATTAGAACTTCAGTTTTCCTTACTGATAATATATATTCAACATTTATGTAATTTTCCCTTTTAAGTTACAGTATAATTTTAATCTATGAGAATATTCTCATAAGCTCTATAATATTCTCATATTCTCGTAAGCTAATGGATGTATAAAAATGTTTAGGCTTTTTTTTCATTCTAGAGAAGACCTTGTCTCTATAGCACAGCGGGTAGGGCGTCTGCCTTGCACGCAGCCAACATGGCAGACCCGAGTTCGATTCCTCTGCCCCTCTCGGAGAGCCCGGCAAGCTACCGAGAGTATTCGATATGCCAGACACAGTAACAACAAAGTCTCCAATGGAGACGTTACTGGGCCCGCTCGAGCAAATCGACGATCAACGGGAGGGCCTTTACTTTTTTACTTTTACTCGAGCAGAGAAGACCTTGTTCTCTTAAATACACCTCTTTCTTCTTTGTTTTTATCGATTCTTTTTATCGATTTTTATTCTTTTTTGTTTGTTTTTTTGGGGCCAAAACATGAGAGCAAACCATTAATAAGAATATTCTCACAAGCCCTATAAAATGGATGTATAAAAAAACATTTAGGCTTTTTTTTAACTCTAGAGAAGATCATAATCTCTTAAGTACACCTCTGTCTTCCCTCAGATTAAATAAGTTTCTTTTAAAAAACTTATTCTACTTCAAAAATATATAATATGTGGAGTTCATGCACAATTCAATCAGCCTAATCAGTGGCTGAATAAATAGCAGTACGGCTTAATTGCACTCATTACCATCACAATGACTTTGGCCTACTCCTACATAAAAAATATATATATATAATATGCGATACCTTTGCATTATCACTTCCAAAGGTAGTATGAATAACTTTTAAACAAAGAAAGCATCTGATTATAGCAAATCATTAAAAATCAAAATTTTGTGCAAATTATAATTCATCTTATAGATGAGTTCTTTTCTACATATATCAACTATTAAAAACAACTGTCCTAAGAATTTGCAAAAAAGAAAAATCCTTCAAAATATACCACAAGCACATTTAAAGCCTAGAGACTGACCAGATACTACTACTTCTTTTTTAATAATGTAGGAGCACTGCTATTTATTCAGCCATTGATTAAGCTGATTTAATTGGGTATGAACTCCAAATTAATTTATTTATATTAAATAAATTTATTTATATTAAATAAATTAAATAAATTTATTTATATATTAAATAAATTAAATAAATTTATTTAATATAAATATATTAAACTATACTACCAGGTGACATCTCTCCAATAGCAAGTCCATAAGAAATGAAACCTACAACTCAAAGATTTAATTTGTATTTCTCTATTACTTAAAAATTCCCTATTATTCTTAATCTAAGCTTCTTAATAATTTATAACTACTCAAAAATATTGGTTATAGTAAGTTTTCCTTTACTGAAGTATTTTTTGATAATTGCTTTAGCCACTTAGTAATTTATGTGCTAATAAAGGGGTAGGCTTGAAGGGATGGTTGGAAAAATGGGGACAATGGTGGAGGGGCGTCTGCTCTGGTGGTAGGACTGATGTGGAACATGGAAAGCCTGTAACAACTGCACTACAAACAACTTTGTGAACCATGGTGTTCCATGGTGTTATTTTTTAAAAATCCAAAACAACTCTTAAATTTGAGGAATAAAGCTATAACACGAAAAAAAGTATTGGTTATAGGGGCCAGAGTGATAGTACAGTAATTAAGGCATTTGGCTTGCACAAGGATGACTGGCATCCATTATGCCTCCCCCCTCTCCCCACACAGACAGGAATAAATGTTGAGTGCTGAACCAGGACTTTAACTCCTGAGCATCACTAAACGTGGCCCCAAAACCAAAACAAATAAATGAAAGATTAGAAAAGGATATATATGTTATAAAAGAAAATATAAAACAAGACATAGGCCTAAGAATGTGGAGCAACATTAAGATACATTCCATACAAGCATAAGCTCAATAGAAAAAATTAATTACTTAAAAGAAGACAAAATTAAATTTACAGTGCACATACAACGATTTGAAAACCTGTTCAACTAAAGGAAATAACATGAAAATATTGAGCTAATATCTACACAAGCAAAACTAAGGTGACTTCATGTTTCCTAATAAGACTTTCATATTTGCAAATAAATACATATTCTTTGTAGTATTAAGCTTTTTTGTTTTACTTCACTTTTGGCCACACCCAGCAGTCCTCAGGGCTTACTCCTTGTTCTGTGCATAGGGATCACTCCTGGTGGGGCTCAGAGGACCAGATGGGGTGCCGGGGATCGAACCCAGGTCAGCCACATGCAAGGCAAGGGCCCTACCCATGGTACTATCTCTCCAGTCCCAGTACAAAAGTTTTTAAAAGATAAAATATACCACATCAAACAACTAAAAGTACCATTCTGCTCCTCAAACAATTATCTCTTCAAAGTGATTAAAAAAACACACACACACCTTATCTTGCAACAGCTATTTAAAATTACAGTTAAGACAATTACAGCGTTGTCTACCATCATTTGAGTGAAAGTGTCTAATGCTTTCCAGCACACTGTCCAATATGCTTGATGGCAAATACAGAAGTTATCAATAGAAAATACTCTTTAAGGAAGTAGCCATCACCTTAAACTGAGTCCCAGTTTTCTCTCCACTTTTACCCTGTAAGTGGTTAGAAGCAAATTAAAATATCTGGCAATATATAAATATATTTGATATATCTTAAAACAAAACAAAATCTAATCCCCTTTACTTTTACTAATGATCATCAAAAAGTATGCTAGCCAGGGCTGGAGCGATAGCACAATGGGTAGGGCATTTGCCTTGTACGCGGCCGACCCGGGTTTGATTCCCAGCATCCCATATGGTCCCCTGAGCACTGCCAGGAGTAATTCCTGAGTGCAGAGCCAGGAGTAACCCCTGTGCATTGTCGGGTGTGACCCAAAAAGCAAACTAAATAAATAAAATTATGCTAGCCAATGACAAAATGAATTAGAACATGAAACCAGGATATTTTTAAAGTAGGTGATTATTCTTAGACAATTTGTGAACAAAACAGGGAAAGAAAAGTAAGCCCGTCCTATTAAAAAACAAGTCTAATTAGCTTGCTAAAACAATAAGACTATTTCTTATGTATCTAGGAAATCCAAGTGACAAAAAATAAATCATCAAAGAAAAAATAAGGCATGACCTGCTACACTCTCAATTTAGTCAAGAAGGTAATCTTGATTCTGTTTCTTCCTTCTAAGTCACATAAAAAGAAATAGGACAGGGTTCAGAAATTAGAGCCATGAATAAAGGAAGTAATCACACTATCATAAGTGCCAATCTTATGATCTGTGAAACTTAACCTAGAAGGAAAAGTTCCATGAAACTGAAAACACAAAACCTAGTATAATTCTGCAAACTATCTAGAGGACAGTACAATTTTTAAAATAGTGATACCATTTTTTTCCTGTATTGAGGATTTTATTTTGCCAATATATTTATATTCTTTCTGCTAAGTCAGTTATCAAGATAAGCTTATCTCCCTTTATGACCTCAATTTTACCTTGATAATAAATATGATAGAACTTAGGCTTCAGCTCTGCCAAAAAAGAACTTTAAGCTAGTATGTGGCTGTAAGTATTTTCACCCGTGTACTGAAAGGAGCTGGTCCAAAAGATTTTAATTCTTTCATTCTAAAATAGTCATTTTACAATTCTTTAGGATTATATCACATTGCTTTGAGTAATAGTCCCCTTTAACTTGGAGAAAAGCTGTCCTGGGATTCAAACCATGGGTATATTTCTCAATCAGTCATTCAACAGTATCAACAGTGATTCTTGTTTTATTTTATTTTTTAATTACTGTGCATTTAACCCCCTATGCCCCAACTCTATCAGTTCATCCAATTTCCAGCACAACAAATCCACCACGACCTACTTATTAATTTACTTACAGAGGATATAGGAAGGGAAAGCCCCACTAGGCTGAGCATAGTAGTTGTGACCGTACTGTCATGGTATCGATACCGGATGCTGCTGTCATTACAGAAAAAGCCTCTCTTAAATGGATATATTTGGCCAAAATTTAGACAAGCCATAGGCATGGAAGCTGTTGGGGAAGGGAAAAAAAGACACACATGATTAAATTCAATTCACTTCATTGGGATGTAAAGTCTATTGAATGGGATGCAACTCTTAATTATATTTTCCCTTTTCTGATCAATATTTCATAGTAGCCAAGGGTGAAGATTGAGAAAACCATGCAGATAATCCACTTATCCGTATTAGAACCACATCAATTTTTTTGTTTGCTTTTCTTATGGGGCCACACCCGGCAGTGCACAGGGCTTACTCCTGGCTCTGGGCTCAGAGTTCACTCCCCATGGGGCTCGGGAGACCAGATGGGGAGTGGGGGATCTAACCCAGGTCAGCCACATGCAAGGCAAGCACCCATCTGCTGTACTATCACTCAGGCCCTTAGCACCACATTTAACCAAGTATAACTTTCTTGTTTTCATTATTCTGTTCCGTTTTTGTTTGGGGCCACACCTGGCAATGCCCAAGGCTTACTCCCAGCTCAGTACTCGGAATCACTCCTGGCAGGGCTCGGGGAGCAATGCGGGTGCCAGGGATAGATCCAGGTTGGCCAAGTGCAAGGCGAACGCCCAGCCGCTGTACTGTAACACCAACCCGGGTTCTCTCGTTTTCACTGACCTCTGATTTTAGAGAGAAAAATTGGCTGGTGGGGAAATGAAGCTGGGAAAACAGAAAGGGTTCATATAGTTTGTGTATTATTCGTTTTTAGCCACACCCAGTGGCCTGCAGAGTCTAGTCCCAGTTCCAAGCTCAAAGATCACTCTGAGTTTCAAGCTGAGTTTCGCCTGGGGGGTCATTTGGAACTGAGGATTCAGCCACGGTCTCCTGCATACAAAGCTTGTGCTCCAGTACTTTAAGTTGTCTTTCTGGTCCGATATTTTTTAACTACGATTTTTAATTGAATTGTTCAGTATTGTAAAAGTTATGTTTAAGGGAAAAATGTAAAACTCAATAAACACATTTAATAATTAGCAACATCATAATAAATTCAGATAATGAAAGAAACAAAATTTTGCTTCACAGTGAAATTTTTCACAGGGTTAGAAAAAAACAGAAACATAAGTGTATTTCTTATACTAAATAAACTCTTATTTACTAATAACAAACAATTCCTTTGTTTTCTGAAACAAACTAAAAATTATTATTATTAGACCTGGCAGAGTTCCAAACTGATTTAAACACTTTCTGTTGATATTTTTAATCTAAATAAAATTACCTTCAGAGACAAAAAAAAAGAGCATAAATTACAAATTATTTCCTAATTTGTTCAAATTTACCACAACCTTAAGGTTTCGCTTAAGTCAAATGTTCAAGCATCTACTGTCAATATGCTCATTATTGCTTAAGCTAAATATAGGGGAGAGAAATTAGTGTAACATTGACACCTGGTTCAAGAACCTGAATTTGAATTGCATCCATAGAAACAGAATGCATACTCAGGAAATAATTTTTCAAAGTGATACCATGAGCGATGGTGGGGGGAGGCTGATGTAACTGTTCTGTATCTTGACTATGACAGTGATTCCACAATCTAAGCGTTTCTCAAAACTAAGAAATTTCATATAACATTTTACAAATTCATTGTATACTTCTGTAGATGTATAACAGTCTTATTACCATTTTTAAAATGAAAGAAAATAGGGCTCATTTCTAAAATGGCATGAGAAATCCTAATTCAGAGGTCAACGTGAACTGAAATAGAAAGAGCAAGTAAGGAACAGGTGACTAGGTTGAGTTTGAAATAGCACAGAGATGGCAGGCAGTATGGGAGGTGAGGGTGCAAGATCATTTAGAGGTAGAGGGAATGCAAGATCAGCTTGAGGTCACGTCAACAGCACCCAGGGAGTAAGCAAGGAGTTTTCCAGGTACAACATTCACAGCCAACAATTACTACATGCTCACACGTGCCAGGCAATTGGCTACACAAATTTATGCAGTCCTTAACTCCCCCTGGAAAACATGAACTATAATTCCCCCACTTTCCACAAAAAGTGATTATAAGGCCAAGAGAAATAGAAAACCTTGCTGAAACTAGTAAGTGGTGGAATCAGCATTTACACATAGGCTATCTGTTTCTGGAGTCAGCCTCTCAGGGAAGCCAGTTGATCTAGTTAAATCAACAGGATAGCATCATTGTGAAAAAGTCATAATTGCAGGAGAGGGAGACCAATCCTTTATTAAAAGTTGTTCAGTATAAAATATATTTACAACTAAAATCGAACAAAATCTTTGTTGTGAATTACTCAGATTTGCAATTCTGTGACTCTTGGAGGATTAGAGTTATATTGGGGTGGTATTAAAAAAAGAATTATCCGTTTAAAACACTCGGGCTGCGCAATACAACTTCTGGGAATATATCCCGAGGATGCAAAAAAGCACAGTAGAAATTACATCTGTACCTATATGTTCATTGCAGCACTGTTCACAATAACCAAAATCTGGAAACAATCCAAGTGCCCTAGAACAGTGACTGGTTAAAGAAACTTTGGTACAACTATACAATGGAATACTATGCAGGAGAGATGAAGTCATGAACTTTGCTTATAAATGGATAGACATGGAGAGTATCATGCTAAGTGAAATGAGTCAGAGAGAGAGGGACAGACATAGAAGGACTGCACTAATTTGTGGAGTATAAAACAACATAACATGAGACTGACATCTAAGGATAGTAGATACACGGGACAGATAGATTGCTGCATAGCTAGAAGCCTGCCTCATGAGCAAAGGGGAGAAGGCAGCTGGAACAGCGAAGGGATCACTAAGAAAAAGATGGCTGGAGGAATCAGTCGGGATGGGAGATGTGTGCAGAAAGTAGATAAAGGACCAAACATGATAACCTCTCAGGGTCTGTATTGCAAATCATAATGCCCAAAAGTAGAGAGAAATTATGGGGAATCATGTCTGCCATGGAGGCAGAGGGACGGTGGGAAAGGGGAGTTAATACCGGGGATATTGGTGGTGGGGAATGTGCACCGGTAGAGGGGGAGGGATGGGTGTTTGATCATTGTGTGATTGTAACCCAAACATGAAAGCTTATAACTACCTCACAGTGATTCAATAAAATTTTTAAAAAATTAAAAAAAATAACTCGGGCTGGAATGATAGCACAGAGGGTAGGGCATTTGCCTTGCACGCGGCCAACCCGAGTTCGATTCCCAGCATCCCATATAGGGTCCCCTGAGTACCGCCAGGAGTAACTCCTGAGTGCTTGAGCCAGGAGTAACCCCTGTGCATCACTGGGTATGACCCCAAAAGCAAAAAACAAACAAAAAAAAAACTGTCCTAAGATTTCTAAGGAGATAATCAGAACCTTTGATTATCACTGTCACTGTCCTCCCATTGTTCATCGATTTTCTCGAGCGGGCCCAGTAACATCCCCATTCTGACTTTGTTGTTACTATGTTTGGCATGTAACGTCACGGGGAGCTTGCCAGGCTTTGCCATGAGGGTAAGATACTCTTGATATAGCTTGCCAGGCTCTCCGAGAGGGGCGGAGGAATCAAACTCAGGTTGGCCATGTTGCCTGCATGCAAGGCAGAGGCCCTACCTGCTGTGCTATCGATCCAGCCCTCAACCTTTGATTATGAATACAGAAAACAAAGAGTTATTGACTTAAGTTTTATTTTCCACTGGGACTTTTCAAATAAATAAAATACTGGTCTAAATACTAAAATACTGGAAATAAAATAACATTTTCCTCTTTTGTTTAGGGTCAGCAGGAGGGTGAAAATAGGGAGGGTGAAATTAGTTTAACTTTTAAGGAGTAAAAAGAAACATTTTAATATAGCTTAAAAATAATCCAGTAATTAAATTATAAGGAATGTGATGACAACCAAAATAGTATAGGATGTACTGGAAAGTCTTCTTTGGTTATAGAAGTACCTGGCAGTCTGGTAATGAGGTAGATGTGAAAATGACACTTCAGGATTCAGAGTTAAATAAGGTTCCACTGCTGGAAAAGCTGGCTTATGGGGGAAAGGGAGGGGGTAGGGGGGTAGTTTTGTGCTGGGAATACTACCTCTGGATGATATTGCATCTTCTTTTGTAGGGAGTGGTTTAGTGGGATTTGGGTCACATCTTACAGTAGTTAGATACCAGCGGGCAATGCTCAGAGGTCACTCCTGGCAGGAACTGGGGGACCATATGTGGTGCTGGGGACTGAATTGGGCTCAAACACATACAAAGCAAATGCCTTACTAACCCTGCCTGTATTATCTCTCCAGGACCTGATACTGCATCCTCTTAAATGCTCAGCCTCATCTTTCCCCATGCAGTCTGTAAAATTCCAATCACACTGAACTATTTGCTGTTTATGCCTGCCGGATCATAGTGTTTTAAAAACCCTTGGTACCTTGGTATCTTCCAATGAGGATTCTTGACCTCTTATCCTTAAAGGCCTAGTCAGGCACATTCCCTACTTAACTATCCCATGGTACTTTGTACATTTATCTACTACACTGTATTTTATCTTCTACGTGACTTTTTTTTATAGGCATACAGTGACCCTGAATAAAAATGTACTGAGAGGCCAAAAGAACATTCAGGGTAAGGATCAGAAGTATGGAGCTGGAGCAACAGTGCCGCAGGTAGGATGCTTGCCTTGCACGCATCAAACCTGGGTTCAATCCCTGGTACCTCATATGGTCCACTGAACCCTACCATGAGTGATCCCTCAGTGCAGAGCAAGTTGTAAGCCCTGAGCCCCATTGGGTGTGGCTCCCCGCTAAAAAGAATAATAAAACCAATAAAAAGAACCAGAAGTAGAGAGATTCAAGTTGTTAGGGATGGTAATTTACATCAGGAGAATGGGACACAGTTCTGAGAAACAGTCTAAAATCAAGACTAGGAGAGATAAAGCAACATATTAAGGAGCAATATCCTTAGTGAAAACATAAAAAGGAACTAAAACTGATGAAAACTGAGGAAGAAAGGATTACATGTTCTAGAGCTTCCCTTTTACCACTGGTCTACCACCTTGGTTCTAACTGACAATCCAAAGACTACTGTGCA